TATATACCTAATGGGCAGCCAGGAAAAGTTATATTGGGTACCGGGAGCAATTTTATATTTTTTTAATAAAATAACAAAAATGTTTATTTTTGAATAAAATTATGTATGTAAAAATATTTAAATTAAACAAAACTGCACAAACTCAACCACATTATAAGCCGACAACCATGCAAATTTAATAAAAAAATATAGTTGGGTGTTTCAGAAAAAAGCTGATTTTTCGTAAATTATTGAGTGATGCCTAGTTTCACGGTGTTTTCAAAAATTAAAATCGCGCTCACGTCATCACAATCTTTTTTTCGTCAAAACTATATTAGGGTATGGCTACGGACATTGTGGCCGAAGCCCATGAATTTTTTTTTAGAAATCGGCGGTGGTCGAGCGCAACGTCTGGGAGGTTTCACACGGAATGACTGTCGGCCTCGGTTGGCCTGGACCATTGTGCTCTAAAAATGTGTGTTAATATTGTGTCCAAAGTTTTGGGTCCTCCACTAGAACGGGTTTACGAGTTCCAGACAGCCTGTGCAGAACTTGTACATAAACTGCAATAAATGGTCTTCTGATGCTGTAACACTGCTTTTACTGCTGTTCTTAGAAGATGACAAGTCGACTCCCAGCAGAGGGCAAAGGTGCACGAATATACAAATGTTCACATGCACGTTTCTAGGTCTGATTGTCATTATATTATCACTAAAGTAATGCAATATTTTGTTTTTAACTTAAGAACACAATGAACTTACCCGTGCGCTGTTCGTGCTTCTTGTATAAGCTGTACAGGAATCTGGTTTTCTTTAAAGGTTTCTTCGAACACTGCTGTAATTGGTCTGGCGTGCGCAAACAGCCCATGCCTGTATTTCTGTTTGGGTCGTGACCGCAGCACTGAACTTCCCCATATTTTGATATTTTCGCTTTCCCACTACCCGAATTAGTTGTAATTGTTCATCCCATGTCTAATTCCTCTGCCGTTTCATGCTGATGCTTGATGTCCCCCGACTCATTTTCGATTTCAGATTGGTTGTGATCGTCTGCTACGTAATTATGCCTCTGCTTATCATCCTAACAAAACATTAGTTATTCCAAAACAAAATAAATTTACGAAAGACAAGCGCAAGAGAAAACATGGACACTTTTTTCATGATAGAAGCTTCGTTTATTTCCCAGTTGCACAAGTCCGGCATCGGTGCCGGCAGTTTATATTGAGGTAACGGATGTTTGCTTCCGAGGAAGGTTTTTAGTCTACATCTTGCCTTCGTTGAACCGTCTTCCGCTGCGAGGGGGTCGTCGGTGTTGTGGATGCGCTGCAAATACAGTACACGGCGAACTGTACTATAAACCAGACTCCGCGATTGGAGGCAGTTTTTCGGAGAGATTTGTTTCACTACCATGCGATTGTGGCTCAAGGTAAGTTTCATAAGTGAAAAAAAGAAAGCTGGACGTTGATTACAACGCAGGATCTGCTGACATGACATTTTGATAGCGGTACGATCTCATAACTTTCTCGTGCAACATCGCGGCACTCACCTAGGTAATATATTTTGAAGGTCCCGCTGACTGTAGCATTCGTTGAAACAAGTCCACCTCAGAGGGCGATGCGTGAACTCAAACCTCACGTGACCATTCAAGCGTAGGCCTGGTCCCACAGCACGTCTGGCGGTGGCCGAGCTGTCGTCGACTCCGACTGTAGACTCTGTGTTCGAATGTTCCTTTCGTGGCACGAGGAGGACGCATCTTCGTAAAAATAAATGTTCCCAAGCGTGACGAGCAGCCGTAGCAGTCATATTGCCTGATGCTAAGTACTATTTGACTCCGGCGTTCCTACTCTGCAGGTCACGTGACCTAAAATTCCCCCTCGTAGAGCCTACTCGGCGTTGCCTTACTTGATCTTTGGCTTTCGTATATTTGTACATGCCTTGCCCGTTTTTTTCGTGGTTCTAGTGTCCGGTCATACAAACAAAATTGTGTTTTCTTTTCGGCCATTCTCCCCTTCCTGACGTTCTCTATTTTGTTGAACTTGATCTCTTTATGCTGCTGAATGTTCTGCTCGTATTGCTCCAGTTACTGTATTATACTTATATTCTGAAGAAGTAATGAGTAAATAATGTAATCCTTTACCAATATTTTGTAAAAAAAATTCCAGTACAAATTGCTTTAAAAAAAAAGTAACATGATAATTACAAAATTACTCAAAAAGTAACGAATAGCAAGTAAACCGTTACTTGTAACGGATTACTTCCCAAGTTTGGGTGGAAGTCGGATAGTAGAAAAATTTAATATTTCTAAATTTTTTTTTAAATACCGCTAACATTACCTGGTATCGTCTCATTATCCCGAAGTTATTTACGCGGGCCTAAAATATGGTTCTCTTTTCTCAAGAAAGCCCGGTACATCGCCTGGCTTTATTGAAGGGGCAAACAGCAAAACAACATTTTATGACTCGTCGAATGCACCCACTCGGCACCCGCCTTGTTGGAGAACTTATTGAGGCTTAAGTGTCCCCTTTTCTTCCGGAATAAGTTTCGTAAACACAACGCACTCGGTAATATTAGTAGACTCGCAAAATACCTAGGTTGTAGTTGTCGGCAGTTAAATTAGACACATGCCTCCTTGGTGAAACTTGAGTATGGGCTACAAGGTATATTCATAATATCCTAAATATCTCGCCGCTGTTGTAACGATGAGACTTAAGCGCGTGCCCACGGATTTACGGAGGACGACGAAAATGCGCGCGAGGGCGGCTCATCCCCCGGTAGAGTGTACTAGAAAGAACGAGTGGGGCCACCGGGGTGCTATTTTGGTGCCTCCGCATATGGAAAAAAAGGGATAATTCAAGCCACTTCTCTCGTAGAGCCCAAGAGGACGCTACGAGCGAAGTTAGCCGTTTTTTAGGAAAAACGCGTTTCGTTCCAACGCCAATCTCGACCGACACACTGGTCAAGGTCATAAAACCGATAGAACGCCGGACTATATTTTTTATACAACCTAGACGTCAAGCGTCACGTACATAAAGTCACCGCGACCTGACTTGTCGTCAGAACGTCATGCGACATCAAAACGACGCCTTGATGTCAACGTCTTCATCAACGTTGATACCGTGAGTTACACGACATCAAGACTGCGTTACGATGTCATATTGCGTTGACAACGGCGATGATGTCAAGGTAGACATTGACGGCGACGATGACAACGTCACGGGACGTCAAGATGACGGCGCCCGTGTCAATGCAACGTCATAAGGAAGCTTGGTATCAGTTTGTCGACGTCGTTGTCGACATGATGCAACTCGACGTTACGAAGACGTCCCGACAGTTTCACGACATCGACGTCATCGTTGACGACGCTACACGACGTCAAGACTTCGTCGTGACTGCGCGTCAACGTTGAGGCTGGCGAAGGCGACGACGGTACACGCCGTCAATGCTTCGTCGTGACGTTGACGTTCACGATGACGTAGGGGCGACGTTAACGTGACGTCATAGCGATGTTTGACGTTGCATGGGGCGTCGGCGTCAACGTCGGCATCGATGACCACGTCTACGTCGTCCTCGATCTGGCACGCGACGTCATGACCGCGTTACAACGGTGACTTCTTGTCGTGTAACAAAGTTGTCCTCAACGGGACGGGATGTCACGTCCGCGTCATGACGGCGACTTGATGTCGCGTAACGGCGTCGTCCTTAACGCGACGTCACGACCGCGCTAGACTTAATGTCGTTAAACGGCGCCGTGCTCGACGCGACACAACGTCACGACGGCCTTACGACAGCATCTTGGCGTCGCGTAACGTCGTCGAAGATGGCGTCGCCGTGTCGGGGTGCTTTGACGTTACCTCTCACGTCAAAATCACAAGAAATACAATATAGCCCCTCAGGGGCTATATTGCCCATATGACCTTGACCCGTGTCGTTGCTCGATCGCACGCAGCGAAGGTGGCGTAGTGATTGAAGTGGCTTGGTTTCACCTCTAGTTTCACCTGACCGCTTTCTACATTTTGACGTGGAATTGAAAGCATGGGCGGAGCCTGTAGCTCGTCCCCACTCGTACCTTCTAGTACACTCTACTCCCGGCACTTCTAATCTGTTCAAATACATTCATGGATGTAACCTATCCCATAAAATCTGCTACAATATTACCCTGAATCTCCACTAAACAAGCCACTAAAGTGGCTGTGATTAGTTCTTTACCGTGCGCTCAGTGTGCAGCTTCTGCTAAACCCTTTTGGGGAGAAACGTCGACATTTTCGTGCAGCCTGCACCTCTAGATTTGTGCCGTCCGATTTGAGAAATTTAATTCCTTTGTGTGTGCGAATATAAGTGGCCGTGCCACAGCGGCTCCAGAGTGGGGTCTATACCAAAAGAATAGGCTCGGGCGTGGCTGTCGCCGTTCCCGAGCCCCAAATTTCCGTCTTGCTGTAGATAGAAAAAAAATATATATATAATTTTTCGAATTTATGCACAGTATCAGAAAGAAAAATACGCTCTCTGACTGCTGGACAATGACTGTCTGTACACAAAAATCTAGAAAATTGAGTGGGTCATGTTTTAACGAGAAAGAAATGTCAGTGAGTTGAACTCTGAAAAGTTTACGAAATTTAATAATCCCTTCACAGCTAGGACAGGTGGTTTCAACATGTGTGCGAAAATTATCCTAATATCGACAGATCATATTGACTTTTAGTTTGATTCTATATTTTCAACACGTCGAGGCTTATTACAACAATCGATAGGTGCTCAAATCCTTGCAAGATTAATTTCAACATTCTATTAAAAATGACCAACATACCATCGAACTTGTATTTTATTCTGTGATATGATTGAGAGTGAGTTTGCATTTAAATAGCTCCAAGTTTTATGAATATTTAAATTTAAAAATCAATCAGAGTAATTCGGAAAGGTAAGAACACCTGTTTGACTGTTAGCTTTTTGGGGCTACAAAATGCCAACTTTCTGTTAGTTTTTCTTTTTTTTTTATAATGTCTTCGTTAGTGTGCTTTCTTGCAAATATTATTCCAGGATTTCGCTGTCCAACGATTCGTTGCGTGGGGTACGGTCGTAACATCCGGGTCCGCGTTGCCTGTAATAAACGGATGGAGTTACGTCTATAGGAATCATGCTTATTTATTAAGGTGTGCTCGTTTGTTAGAACTTTCCAGAGTTGCGTCGGCTTTGTTTTTTTTTTTTAGCTTTCTTTGTGGGTGTCGGGGTTTTGAAGGGAGCATTTGCGTGGGCAGAGCGGCCGAGAGGTGTGAGCGGTTCTCTCGCGGTCGTTAAGAAACGTCTCGGGTTTCGGGAGTCTGCTCAGACAGATCCCTGGGACAGCCCGTTCTTGCAGCTGCTCGTGGCTTTTAGCCGAATTTGCCCGTATATAGAGGGTTTTGCCGCTTGGTGTAAAATTGTCGCTTTTTGCCCGATGCAATAGCTTAGCGGTTGGCGCCAGTCAGACTGGGAAAATTGCAGGGAACAACTCTACAAGCAATTTGGGTTTGGCGGTTGGAGCGCCAGGATGACAGCTCGCCAACCGTTGGAGAACACTGTACCACGTGTGAGTGGTGGAATTTGAAGAGATTGGTCGGTTCCTGAGGGGAAAGGAGGTCCCTACGTCCCTAGAAAAAGACTGCGGAGACGATTTTGAGGGATTCGAACTTGGGATTTGATTGAGAGAAATTAGGGACGGGGGTCGAGACTTTAGAAGAGGCAGGATGGTCTCCCAAAGGACTTGTAACTAGAGTGTAAATAAATGCACATAGTTCTCTACAAGCCGTGAGTCGACCCGTCACTCATTGACGTTCGTGCCACCACGCTTCAGACCATCGGAGCGGAAGCCGCCTCCCACATTACCGGGAGGACCAACAACAAACTTTAACTGATGGCTTTATTTCAAATTGAACGCGTGTATGGGGATAGGTATTTTGAGTTGCTTCAAAAATATATATATAATGGCCACACTTAAGTAATAAAGAAAACTGCTCCTTACAAGTTTACGTATATAAAATTAATTTTTTCCGCTGAAATTTTTAAGCACAGTATTAGGGGAAGGCAACATTTTTTGCTGCTTATTTCGGAACCCAGTTTTTTTAGTTCTTGTTATAGATAGGTAATATAAAAAGAAAAAAAAAATAGATCGGAATAATTCTTTTCTAATAAACGTAAAATGCACGGTCGTTTCGTTCTTGTCTGAAGTAATCATTTTGGGAATTTTATTGCCAGAAATAAAAAATAACAATCATCGTACCTTTGACGCTTTGGTGACATATTTAGAAGTTTGTATCTTTGGAATAATAAAATATATTGCTTACTAAATAGTCCACACGTACACTCCTATACAGGTGAGATGGACTGGTACCAGTTTCGTTTAATTTGAGTTGTTTTCACGATATATTTACAAAAAAATTAATTTCTCATTTTCATAAAAAATTAAATTTACCCAGTTTTTGAGCAAGGTTAATTAAAACGGAACATTTTCATTTCTTCGTATTTTTTCTTATTTCAATGATGTTAACTTTCTATTAACTTAATCAAGCTTTCACCTTGTTATATTTTCGGTAGCTTTACGTTGTTTTTCGTATCGACATACCATCGTCTTGTCGATTCGGGTGCATTGTTTGACCTCTTGATCAAACATCAAAGGGATACTTCAACGAAATTTTAAATATTCCCGTCGTGTTCAAAAATAGGTTGAATATGATCCACAATATCCGTAAATGACAATCGCGCGTTTGTATTTTGATCCTGGTGGCTGTATTTTTCGTTATAAACGGCCCCCTCTGGCAAGCGCTCGGAGAAGGCCCAACGGAGACCACGTGACATCCAAAGCAATCGGGACGTAGGTCGTCTCGAAACGAGCAAAGCTACGGCGAGGCTGACGTCGAGAGGTTGGCCTAGTCGTTCCAGCCACCGCAGCGGCTGCTTTTGTACGAGTTTTGAGTGACGGGTTAGTCTTCTATAATCTTGTAGGGGGACAATAGTGACTTCTGCGACACACAAAAGGCATTCTCAGAAAGAGGGGACTTCCTCCTTCCCTTCTTCTTTCGTCGTGGCTGGAGGCGAGACAACCTCCGTCACTAGCTGTCAAGGTTCCTAAACGGGCATTACAAGCGAGGCGTTAGCGACATCCACCAGGTGCTCTTTGCTAATCGTTTAATTTGTTTTAAAATTCTTTTTCGGGAATTGTTTTAAACAAGATATTGGTATGTTCGATGTGATACTGCTCTTCTGAACACATATAGACCAAAAAATGAGCGCCGAAATTTCGTTGTAGTGTCCCTCTAAACCCCAATAATAGAAAAAAAGATTTCGCGCGAGTTGGCTTTAATGTAAAACATTTTAGTCTTGAAGTGCTACGGGCAATGTCGTTGCAAGCGTCCGGCTTGGGAAGGGAAGGGGCGGTGGGAGCTGGCTTCGATAGGAGGCAGGAAGGGGAGTGGGTGGTGCAAACGTGGCGACATTAGAAAAATGTCTGCCCCCAGCCTTCCTCTGTTTTTTTCACCATGAATAAGCGTGCTTTTGTTTTTCTTTAATTTCAATGAATGCACTTAAGTCAGGGTGCATATTGTCGTTTATCTCACTTTAGTGTATAGAGTATTTTTAAGGCTTTACATAATTGTTTAAAAAATAGCTTTCAGCCTTTCCATTTTGGTGAAAAAGGAAGACCTGCAAAGCTGTACTGTGGTGGGAATGAAGTAATAGTCGGCCACAAGTAAAAGTAATAAAGTAAATATATGCGCCGCAAAAACCCCTGGATGACACGCGAAATAATTCATCTAGTACGGAAAGTAAAAAGAAACCGTAGAAGTCCAGTTCACAGTTCCTCCATCCCCTGCCTAAAGCGAGCACTAGCAGCTAAAATTCACACAAGTAAACAAATCTATCATTCCAATACACTCACACGATTCCTTAAGACAGATCCCGCGAAGTTCTGGCGACACCTCAGATCAAATAAAAAAACTGTCGATTATGTCGAAATTCGGGAAATGTTGATTCACGACAAACTACAAATAGCTACGGAGTTTAATCTTTCCTTTCAGTCAGTGTTCTCGAAGTCTTACACTAGACAGGCCTCCTTTAACGAAGAAACTGAAATAAGCTGAGAGTTCATCACGTTTGAACGTATCTTTTCTATGCTACTTAACCTCAAACCTAAATCGTCAAATGGTCCTGATGATATACCAAATGCATTTCTTCGTCGTTACGCTGAGTGGATTTCTAAATTCCTTGTTGTTATCTTCCAGACGCTATTTTCATGTGGCGTTGTTCCCTCAGATTGGCGAATTGCTCGGGTTTTACCCGTTTTTAAAAAAGGAAACCGTACAATGTTAACGAATTATTGCCCAATTTCACTCACCAGCTCTTCGTGTAAACTACTGGAACATATAATTTCTAATTACATCAATTATATCCTCGATAAACATGAAATAATCTCGCCTTTTCAGCATGGGTTCCGAAAGGGACTTTCTACTACTACTCAGCTCATTTAAACTATTCATTCTTTTGCTTCTATAGTAGATAGGCCCGGTCAAGTCGACGTCATCTTCCTTGAGTTTAGCAAAGCCTTCGACAGAGTTCCTCATTCCGGTCTTATATACAAACTAAATGAGACTGGCGTTCTCAGCACAGTTGTTCAATGGATTTCAGCTTATCTTCAAATGCGAAAACAATTCGTCAATGTAAACGGTCACCATTCTGATCCTCTTCTTGTAATTTCGGGTGTTCCGCAAGCAAGTGTCCTTGGCCCTCTTCTTTTTTCAATTTTTATTAATGACCTCACTTTTTGTATAGATAAAAGCGTGAGTATTCGTTTATTTGCGGACGACTGTCTATTGTTCAAGGATATTAACTCTACTAGGGACCAAGTTGTTCTGAACGAATGTCTTAATGCAGTTTCTAGCTGGTGCGATCGTTGGAAGATGAAGCTTAACCAAGAAAAGTCCTTGTACGTGCGCATCACTAACAAAAAGTCCTCTCGTCAGTATGAATACTTTATTGGTGATAACTACATCTCTCGGACGATGAGCTTTAAATATCTTGTATAACAATTTCTAGCAACTTATCTTGGTCCTCACACATTGAACACGTTTGTGCAGCTGCCCGTCGAAAACTAGGCATGATGAGGCACAACCTTAAGCACGTGCCTTCTCATGTGAAACTTTTAGCCTATAACACATTGATAAGAACGAAGTTAGAATACGCCTGTACAGTCTAGGATCCATTCACAAAAAAAGATATCAAGATACTGGAAGATGTTCCGAAGCAAGCAGCTCGTTTTATATTTAATCGCTACCACCCGCATGACTCACCTGCTGCCTTAATTCTGAGTAACAACATCATCTCTCTTGAATTACGAAGGAAGTTAGCTAGACTAAAATTTCTTTATCAACTCTGGTTTAAAAAACTCCGGCTTGAATCGTCGTCCTTTCTTCACCCATCCTCGACTAGGCGCACAAGGCATGACCATCCGCATAAAATAAATCCATTATTCGCTCGAACAAATGCATTTAAATACTCCTTCTTTCCCAGAACCATAACGGAATGGAACAACCTACCTCATCACATATTTATATCTGACAATGTTTCGGAGTCGATTGAGCGTTTGTTTGATGTGTAACTCTTTGCATTGTGTTTTATTTTCCTGTTCTCCACTACCGCCACTCCTCCCAACTTTGTTGTGAGCTGTTACATGTGCGTTACTACAATTTTTGCATAATTTTTTCCTGTTCCGCTCTCCCATTTTACAGATTACCTGGTGTTGCGTTTTGTTTTTACTCCACTTTTGTAATCCCCAATCCTGCTTGGGCCGCAATTGACCTGCAGTATTCCTAAATAAAAAATAAAAAAACGCCAGGTTGAAAAGGCTGGGAAGGTTGCGCCATCTATGAGCGACGGCGGCAAGCGGACAACCGGTAAACCCAACAAACGCTACCAGAGTTTTGTGTCGACATTTGTTTGCGGAGGACACGATCCTGGGGAAACTAGCCCTTAACAGCTCCGCTGTAAAAAGCCGAGAATGGTACTCTAATATGTGTCTTACGGATGAGTTATACGCGAAGGGGGACATAATAGAAGAGGATAATCGTCACA